AAAATAATGTACTACAATATTGTGCATCTTAAAAAGATCTACAAAAAAGTCCGGGATGGTATATATATATCTCTTAGGGATAACCCACAATAACCATTTTTTATCCTTCACATTTTATGAGAAATAATGACTTATTTACTAAACGATTTTAAGTAACACGGCATTAATTCTTATCCAATTAAGTACCTTAAATACATTGTGCATTAATATAGATCAATATGGCCCTTTACAGCATGCAATTTAAATGAATATTTTCGGGCTCACTTATAATTTGCTCGACTTCATCTGCCATAAGTATTATTTTATTATTTATTATTATTTCCACCGGAAAATGTGGAAATATAATTATTGACTGGTGTAATTGTGTTTCTTTTTAACCCCCGACACAAAATAAGGGTGGTATAAATTTAACGTGTATTTCTGAGTATGTATCAGTGTCATTGTAGCTCCAAAACGAATAATTTTTTTTTTTTGAAGGGTGACTCGATCAAGAGTGTTTTTAGTTATGATTTGTAGCAAACAAACAAGTTTAATCATCACAATTAAACAAGTTTAAAAAATTGTATGTGTAAATTTATCAGTTTTTTTGAATATTTGTTATCGTTTTGTGAGCACGGTTCAGGTAGATATTGCAAAGCAATTGTTTACTTGGATGAAAAAAAAATGATTGATTCAATCTTTTTAATCATTTCAAATAACATATTAATTAATATCGAACAACAAAAGATACAAAATTCAAAGCGATATTCCGTTAACTCTAGTAAATTGTCTACGAATTGATATTTACTTGATGACAAGGCGAATTATCCCCGTTTAGCTAATGAGAAATTAGTTATCATTTTGGAAGGTTCTCGAACCTTCTAGAAAATAATAATACTAAAGCATTTTCGAATCTTATAAATGTAGGACATTCAAGAAAAGATTGAAATATTCTGTAACATTCTGAGCAGACGTTGGAACTCGGAACTCAAGTAACACCCTCACTAACTCTATATGGAGTCCTTTGGGGAGATTTAAACCCCATATTTTTGAAACTAACCCCTGCAGTTGGGAAACGAAACATTTTTTGTAGACGATGGATGGAATATTGTCATACCATACGTATAAATCTTATAAGGCGGCGGAATTCGGTAGTGGCTTTAGCCTGCATTTAATTTTATTACATCAGTCCGGAAAGGTGGTGTGCCAGAAAGTTCCCGGGTTCAATTACCGGCGAGGGTGTGACACCAGCAACAAATTTTTCTCATTAATTTGAGACAATTTGTAGTGGATAAAAATTAGATGAATTTTTTTAATATTAATGACTTTTTGTATATTAAAAAATATCTCCCCTCCAGTGCTCTTTTCACCAGTTACATTTTTAAGTATATTTCTTTGGTCCCTATATAATTGCCTATAAAAAAGGCGCTGGTTTAAAATCGCTAGTGCTTTTTTTATTTATATATGATCCCGAACGATTATATTATTTTTAGAAATTTCAGAGTTTATGTACTATTTCTTATTTATTCAAAAGAGGAACAAATTGATTCAAAAAATTTTATTCACATGTTAACAAATTCATTACAGATTAATTTTATACAAATTTTAAGGGTATGGTAAGCATTGTTTTGGGTCCTGTACGGCATACGTCGGTGCTAAATCGGAGAGACCGTTATTATTAAGGATCTGCTTTACTTTAGCTGCTACTTGTGGTGTATAAACCGTTGTCCTGCTCCTGGCCCATATTAATTCTAGAAAAACAATTGTATAGTAACCAACTCGATAGAGAAGTGGACAAGGAATTAAAAATTTACCACAGCTAGTACGTATTTAGTAAAAAAATGTGTCTTACCCATTTTGCTTGTGCTATTTATATCGAGGCATCTGTAATCCAGGACGAACGAATCATAATCGACTCCAAGAATTGGATATACCAATGGGTCGGGAACATTGGGGTATCTTAGACTTATAATCCCATTACGTGTACCGTTATCGGGTGTCCACGTAACCACGCCATCGGACCTACCGTTCCATTCACCTGTAGTTAAATTTTTTCGAATCCAAAAGAAATCGACGGTTATGTTTGATGTTATGGTGAAATTCACAAATTGGCAATCGGCCGGGGTGTTGTATGTGAAAACGGTGTACCATCTTCTGCCAGTCTCTCCGTACTGTCGACAGAAATTGCAATTAATTAAATAAAGGTGTATGCTTGGAGCGCGGCGTAGTACGGGTGCGAAACATGGACAGTGAGTCTTCGAAATGTGGTGTTGTAGGCGAATGATGAGGATAACGTGGGTAGAAATAATAGGAGAACAGAGGACTCTTTGGAAGTTAATAAGAAATAGGCGAGATAGGTTGGTGGGACACATTCTCGGGCATGAAGGTCTAGTCAGAGACATATTAGAGGCTATAACAGGAGTTAGGAGGGGTAGAGGTAGACCTGGGTTGAAGGTTCACAAATAGTTAAGGATGTAGGTTGTTCTTGTNGATTTTCCTGCTTTTCCATTTTTACGAAAACCACAGAGGCGTCTTGTTCAGCGTGCTGTCAAACCTACACTAGCAAGGAGATCGGGCTGAAACTATAGCTACAAGCTATCCAAGGATGGTACTATAGAATGTCACCTCAAGGTAGGCCTAGTGGCGTCATCTCTTGGTTAGGCCGGAAACTTATCAATCCACCCTCGTATTACGAGCTCACACTATATTTTTTCTGTAAATTTCAGACCTTATGTAGGTGCTATGTCTTATTCATCTACAAAAGGAAAAAATTGATTCAAAAAACTTATTCACATGCTAATAAATTTAATGTTGATTAATTTCATACAAATTTCAAAAATATCATATAAATTTTACAAATTCTATGGGTATGGTAAGCAGCGTTCTGGGTCCTGTACGGCATATGTCGGTGCTAAATCGGAGAGACCGCTATCACTAAGGATTTGCTGTACTTGAGCTGCTACTTCTGATGAATAAACCGTTGTCCTGCTCCTGGCCCATATTAATTCTAGAAAGACAATTGTATAGTAACCAACTCGATAGAGAAGTGATCAAGGAATTAAAAATTAATCATGCTATTTTTTGGCCATAAAATCAAACAATTTTTGAAATTCTATGCGGTAAATGCTAAATTTAGTAGATTTCAATATGTTCGACAAGGTCCGTATCTAAACGGATCTTGTTGAACATATTGGAATCCAGTAAATGTCTCATTGTACAACAGATGGCGTTTATTGCACCGTTTGTAGAATTTCATAAAACGCTATGTCAAGGCAGCAGATAAAGTTGATCTGTATTCTGTCGAAGCTGTCGACAACGCGCTGATGAGATCTAACAAAATCTAGCAGTTTCGACAGATTACTAACTACCACGAACTTCTCTGTCCCATTGAATTTTTCTTCAGAAACGTGCCCTTCTGTCAGTTTTAAATAAAAAATTTACTACTGTCTTACCCATTTTGCTTGTACTATTTATATCGAGGCATCTGTAGTCCAGGACGAACGAATCATAATCGACTCCAAGAATTGGATATATCAATGGGTCGGGAACGTTGGGGTATCTTAGACTTATAATCCCGTTACGTGTACCACTATCGGGTGTCCACGTAACCACACCATCAGACCTACCATTCCATGTACCATCAGTTAAATTCTTTCGTCTCCAAAAGAAATCGACGGTTATGTTTGATGTTATGGTGAAATTCACAAATTGGCAATCGGCCGGGGTGTTGTATGTGAAAACGGTGTACCATCTTCTGCCAGTCTCTCCGTACTGTCGACAGAAATTGCAATTAATTAAATAAAGGTGTATGCTTGGAGCGCGGCGTAGTACGGGTGCGAAACATGGACAGTGAGTCTTCGAAATGTGGTGTTGTAGGCGAATGATGAGGATAACGTGGGTAGAAATAATAGGAGAACAGAGGACTCTTTGGAAGTTAATAAGAAATAGGCGAGATAGGTTGGTGGGACACATTCTCGGGCATGAAGGTCTAGTCAGAGACATATTAGAGGCTATAACAGGAGTTAGGAGGGGTAGAGGTAGACCTGGGTTGAAGGTTCACAAATAGTTAAGGATGTAGGTTGTTCTTGTTCTAGGGAAATGCGAAGTTTAGTTCAGGATAGGAAAGAGTGGAGGTACGTGTCCATCCAGTCTTAGGACTGACGTCCCTATGATGATGATGATGATGATGGTACATTTGAAATAGAGCAGATGACTATAGAATATTAATCTTTTGCATTCTCCGACAATTCTACGTGAAAGCCAATATCAATTTAGGCCGCTAGTAAAAGCTAGTAAATAGAAAAACTTACCCTCGCAAAATCGAAATTGTCTACGGCCTTAACGTTTGTTCTGTCTGAACACTGCCCTGACGACGTGTATTGTGAATAACAATACGTTATCAATGCAAAAAATGCAATGAAGAAAAATTGTTTAATCATTTTTACGAAGTACTTTTGGTTTCTTCTTTACAAAGAGTAATGGCTCAATGTTTTTTTGTGATCCTTATTTATACGTATACTCGTACGAAGAAAAGTGATTCAAATTAATTTACCTAATCCTTTCTCGGGAAATATCTCTTATCTAGATGCTCGAAACAAAAGAAAACAAAATTTCTCTTAGCGATACTTTTTTATTATTGACAGCAGTATTGTTCGTGCGTTTTTTAATCAGACGTTGGAAGTATTTAAGTGCTTGCACGTGGAATAACTCAGAGATATTGTTGTTTTTAAGTTCATTCAGGGTCGAGTAATTTTTATAATTAACTGGCTTATCCCCGCGGCTTCGCTCGCAGAGATTAATATCACCTTTTAACTCCCTATTCATCCTTACAACGTTTTAATTTTATGTAATGTCGCCATCTTAGATTTCAAATGCAAACGTAGCAACAACATTTCATCCTTGAGGGTTGATTTTACAAAGTGCCAAAACACGTATTTGCTTAATTTGAACAATGAGCAACCTTCGAGTAAATCCGAGTACAAACCAAGCTTCTAGTAAAAAAAAAACTTTTGGATGTTTCATTCCCACCAGCCAGTAATGCTGATGGGCGGGCAGTCCCTCCGGACTATGCCGGAAGGTAGGGCGGAAGGCCCTCTTCAGCCTGCTTTAAGGAATCGTGCTGGGAATGGGTGGGTGGTGGTTCGGGTGAGAATGTTGAGACGGACGAAATGAAGACAGAAGAGAGTGAAAGATTATCTGTGGAATATTACTGCCTCAGCATTTGCCTAAGTGATCCAAGGAAACCACAGAAAAACTTGGACCAAGGCAGACGGACCCGGAATCGAACCGGCGTCCTCCCGAATGCTAA